AGTGTGCTGGCAAACTCCCTGGTGCATAGGGAGGCCAGTCTTTCAGTCTATTAGGGTCTTCAATTGATTGAATGGGGCCACCCATGTTATGGTGGGCAATCCAGACTTAATTTTTTTTAACTGAAGTATAGTTGTTCTACAGTGTTGTGCACAGCAAAGCGCATCAGCCAAACGTATACGTATATCCACTCTTCCTTGGATTTCCTTCCCCTTTGGGTCACGACAGAGTGTTGAGTAGAGTTCCCTGTGCCATACAGTTGATTCTCATTAGTTATCTATTTTATACATAATAGTGTATATATGCCAATTCCAATCTCTCAGTCCATCCTACCCCCCTTTCGCTCTTGGCAGCCGGACATTTGTTTTCTATGAATCCAGACTTAAATATTAACCTCATTCCAAAACACCCTCCAAGTTAACACAAAATTGACCTTGACATACCCGTACAATGAAAAAAATCTTATCAAACTTTCAGGAAAGCTAGATAATTATAGTGGGATATGGAGCTGAATTTCTACTTTATGATAAGCTATTTTCCCATACTTGTTCAGTCCACTTGTAAGTTAAGATAGGGGTCAGCTTTCAAGTTTATTTAACACCTTGTTCTTGGGTCACAAAGCTTTCCCTCATGTCTTGATGTTGCTCATTGTATTTGTATATTATTCTATGGAGCGTCCCTATTTCTTTTACTAGAGAATGGAGAAAGAGTCTTGAACTTAGAACTCTTTCAATTTCTTGGGATGTCATGAAGCTAAAAGATAAGCCAGAAAAAAAAAAAAAAAGATAAGCCAGAAACAATCATTGTTATTCCATCTGCATTCCCAAAACACATGATTAGACACATTTACACAATTCCTATACAACTAGTTCGTTAAGTCATAAAAAACGTTTCAATTTTTTCTTTGCCAACATTTCCCTCCCATTTGATAGCAGATGTGTCCGTTTGAGTTAGATATACCTATGGTGTTCACAAATAACAAATTCCTGTGGCTAGTTAATCTCTAGTAATTAACAAATCCAAAAAAAGCTGCCTGATGGGACTTCTGGGATCCTGGTGTGAGGACCCAAATAAATTTGAAAAAGAACACAATTAAGAGATTCATGTCTTCTGATTTCAGAACTTACTACAAAGCAGCAAGACAGTGTGGTCCTGGCAATAAAGAAAAACATACAGATCAATAAACAGAGTCTAGAAACAAGCCCTTGTATTTATAGTCAACTGATTTTCAGCAAAGGTAATTCAGTGGGGGAAAAGAACAGGCTTTTCAACAAATGGTGCTGGGACAACTAAGTATTGACAGGCAAAAGAGTGAAGTTGAACTCGTCTCATGTCCTGTAAAAAAAATTACCTCGAAATAGTCATAGACGGAAATGTAAGAATTAACATAATGCAATTCTTAGAAACACAGTGGTGAGTTCATTACCCTGGGTTAGACAAAACCTACTAAAGTGTGACTTCAAAAGCACACGTGAAAAAGAAAAAAAAAACAGATAAACTGAACATTAAAAACTTTTGTGCTGCAAAGGGCATCATCAAGAAAGTGCAAAAAAACCCCACGGAGTAGGAGAAAGCAAAAATCACACAGTACGTGAAACAATGGGCCTTGGATTCTGCCTCTGGGCAAGTTAATTGCCTAAAAAGTACCAAGGAGAACACCTCCCAGGTGGCGCTAGTAGTATAGGACCAGCCTGCCAATCAGGAGATGTAAAAGACAAAGGTTCCATCTCTGAACAGGGAAGATCCCCTGGAGAAGGGAATGGCAACCCACTCAGTATTCTTGCCTAGAGAATCCCATGGACAGAGGAGGCTAGTGGGCTACAGCCCATAGGGTCACAAAGAGTCGGACACGACTGAAACAACTTAACACACACACACACACACACACACACACACTCATACTAAAGAAACAGTTTGTCCAGAAGAGCAGAAGGGATTTTCATTTATTTCTTATTCTAGTTCAGGTCCTTATCATCTTCAGCCTCTTAACTAGGTGCCCCCATCCAACTGCTACTCGATGCCAAAATTATCATAATAAAACACAGATGTTTGCCATCCCTCTGTTTAACAGCCTGGATGAACCCCATGTTACCAGTAGAATTAAATCCAAACGCCTTTAAAAATGGCATGTAAGGCCCGTCATGATCCGGCCCCTATGAAGCCACATCTCCACCAGTACTCCAGCCCCACCTGCCCTTCCCTGGATGCCCTCACCTGAGTTCCTCCTCTTTCTATGACAGCTCTTTGTACTTGGATGCTCTCTCCTTCTCTCCACAAGGAAAACCTCCACTCAGCCTGCAGATGTCAGCTCTTCCATGAAGGCTCCCCTGATTCCTCATCAAGGCAAACTACTTCCTTATTTGTAAGGAAGTACTTCCTTACAAAGTACTTCATACTTACCTTCCCGTTCCATTACTCAGCATTTACCACACTGCATGATAATTATTGGCTTTTTTACTCCCACCCTGAGGCCAGAGGCAGTTATTGCTTTGTCTTTGTACCCTCCAGTATCTGTCTTCTGATTTGGCTTCAAGTACCTTCTCAACAAGTATTTGGTGACTCAATATGTCATCCAGCACTAGGACCCCAATCAGTGAGTATTCTTTCAGCGCCTATACTAACACTGCAGGTTATTTCAAAACAAAACAGTTTATAGTCTGGCAGAGGTTAAGAGAAGTAAATACAAATGTCATAAACTGTAGAGCAAGCCAAAATCTGTGGGAGAATTATGAACCAAATATTATGGCGGTCAGGTGAGGGAAAATGAGTCCCAGAGACAACTCTAAAAATTCCCACAGTTAGCGGTGGAGGCCAGGTGATAGTAGGAAAAGGGAAGTGGAGGAGCTGTTTACAAATTTGATCCAAGCAAACGCTGACAGACCTCAATAACTCCCAGAGGCAAATTCTGTTTCTGAAATTAAAAGTCAGGGGTATGAGGGATTTTATAAAAAGGGGTTCACTCTCTGGGAACTCCCTCCACTTACACAGACAATGGAACTGGAGTGCTTCATTCTGCTGTCAAGGTGACCTTACACTTAGGTATCTGGGAGAGGGCAGTTCTCACTGAGATTCCCGAGTCTGTCCACACTGCAGCAGAAGCTTCCCCACTGTCCCCAAAGCTTTCAGCTTTGGTAGTGGTCAATCCTGGAACCTCTGGACCACTGTCCCTGCCTTGATCTGATCTTGCTATAGCTTCATTGGCCTGAGGAGAGGGAGGAGCAAAGAAAGCTTCACTTCTGCAGCTCCCCCCACCACTACTAAATTATCAGACACCCCAAGGTTTTGTTAACTGAAATAAGAAGTCATGGCATAGAAGTTCCATGTGAAGTTTTTTTTGGGAACCTTACTGAGCTCCGAGCAACTTCTCTAAAGGAGGAGGGACTAGGCTATATATGAATTTGGGGGGGGGGGGCTGGGAAAAACATATGCATGTGTGCTCAGTTGTGTCCGACTCTTTGTGACCCCAAAGACTGCAGCCCGCCAGGCTAGTCTATCCATGGAATTTTCCAGGCAAGAATACTGGAGTGGGTTGCCATTTCCTCTTCCAGGGTATCTTCCCGACCCAGAGATCGAACCAGCCTCTCCTGTGTCTCCTACGTCTCCTAAGGGGCCAGTATATCCAAAGAACAGAATGCTTCCTGTTTTCATCCATCCTGAATTCCCCTCAGGTGCACTGTCAGTGGGCAACTGCAGTGGCTGATGGCTTGATTCTGTTAGAAATGGAATGGCAGGGAGTAATTTTTTTCTTTACGGTTCGGTAGTGAGGGATTGGATATATACATGGACCATAGCCAGACCAAATATAAAAACAGAATTCTGACCCACAGTCCTCAACCACCAGTCCAAGAGGCCAACCTATTACCTTCAAGTCAGACTTATTTGAAGGCAGACTTCTATCTCTAACAGCTAGTCCAAGAAATGCAACAATAACTCCTGTAATAATTGGGCTCAAAGGACCAGAACTTTATTCATATCTGATAGCCTCTCTAATTTTTGCTACCACTTCCAACTCAGGGCCAACTAGAGAAAGCAAATATGCTCCCCTGACCGACGGAGGAGGAGGCTGTGCTTGTGGTTAGCCTGCCTGTGGCTTCCATGCCGACAGTCTCCAATCAGGACACACCTGGAGCCTTCCTCTCTGTCCACTGCAAAGCTTTCCCACTCCTCTGCCTGCCTTCGAGTGTCTGCTAAACCCCAGAGATGTTGGCGGACTTCTTTGCTGTTGCAATCCCTAAATAAATAGCCTTTGCTTGATCTCCATTGGTTGGGCTCTATTTCCACAGTAGAAAAAGGTTTTTATAAGCCAGATGCTAAATATTGTTCTCAGAATCAAAGTGGAAAGTGAAAGTGGCTCAGTCATGTCAGCTCTTCGCGACCCCATGGACTGTAGCCTGCCAGGCTCCTCTGTCCATGGAATTCTCCAGGCAAGAATACTGGAGTGGGTTGCCATGCCCTCCTCCAGGGGATCTTCCTGACCCAGGGATTGAACCCAGGTCTCCAGCATTGCAGGTAGATTCTTTACCATCTGAGACACGAGGAAAGCCCAAAGTGGGCTTTGTAAGTGTTCTCTCATGCTTAGCCTGACTTTGGGTTTCTTAAATGTAACCATCCTCATCAACTTCCTAAGCTGTGTAGGCGAGCACACACAGATTGGTCTTGCCCTGCTATCTGTTCCTTTACCCTGAACAGCACAGTGGAACATGATAATCCACAGGACTCCCTTTCCTCAGGTATGAATTTGATTTAGAATTATATTACCAAGGGGCTCCAACAGAGGAGCCCGGGGTTGGCATTGGGCCCCCAACTCAGGGCAAGGTGAGGTCACAGCTCCTCCCTCCCTTCCCTATGATCTCCCAGCACCTGAGGGTGACTCTTGGATGGGAAACCCACAGCTTTGCATGATAAACAATGCTCAGAGACAGTACACTGGGGACTCAAGTCAAGGAAAAGAACATTTTCTTAAAGCAGCAGGACTGGAAAAGAACGTCCTCTTCTATCTTACCTCGCAGAGATGTTTTCTGTCCACTGTGCCCTCCTTCACAGTCCAGCCTGCCCCTGGTCTTATCCACAACGGTGTCCTGCTGGCTCCCTTCCCAGAAGTCAAGCCCCTGGCTCTCGGCATCCTCACTAAAGAAACGCAGAATCCACAGGAGCTTGTGCAGCTGTTTTTCATTTCTAGTTTGTATCCTTAGTCTCAGCTGTGTCTTCCTATCAGTCTGGATTATGAAGAAAGGGAGTTGATAAAATTTTCTCTCCCTGAGTCCAGAACAATCCACAGGGCTGGGCATGTGAGAAAGATGAGGGGGAATTTTTCTTGTCAAACTTTGTATGAACATGAACATACAGCTTAAACTAACTATTTCTGCTTTACATTTATTTTAGATGTGGTAAAATATACATAAAATTTCCATCTTCACCATGTTGAGTATATAATTCAGTGGTGTTAAATACATCCATGTTGTTGTGCAACCAATGCCTAGAACTCTTTTCATCTTGCAAAACTGAAACCCTGTATCTCAGAGTTAAATAACCCCCCATTCTCCCTCCCCCTGCTCCTGGCAACCACCTTTCTTTTTTTTAATTTTTGTTTTATTGAAGTATAGTCAATACTCTTCTACTTTCTGTCCCTGTGATTTTGATTACCCTAAGTACTGCATATGAGTGGAGTTATACAGTATGTCTTTTTTGAGACTGGCTTATTTCAACCAGCATAATTGAACCGCTCCTCAAGTTTCATTCAGGTTGTAACATGTCAGAATTTCCTTCCTTTTTCTGAAGGCTGAAAAATAGTTCATTCTAAGTATTTTGTTTATCCATTAATCTGTCAGTGGACACTTGGGTCATTTAATCTTTTTGGCTATTGTGAATAATGCTATTATGAATATGGATGCTATTTTCTTCATTCCTCTGTTCTTGACTCTGGCCAAGGATACCAATAGTACCTCAAGTAGTGTTATTAGGGTGAAAATAAGCAACCTTAAGTTTTTTAATGTATTATATTGTTTTACTTCTGAAATAACACCTTAATGGAAAACAGAAGAGAACAGATCTTCAAGTTTATACCAAACAGTAGACTTTGAAAGAAAACAGAACAGAGCTCCTTGGCTCTGGCTGCACTGGGGAAATTTGCTAAAGCATCTGTGTCCAGGTCCCATGCTCCTGAGAGTCTGAAATAATTGATCTGGGCCTGTTAGAGTCGCCTGAGAGTCTTTAAATGGCACAGCGCCCAGGCCCTACCCAAGACCCACTAAATTAGAACTTCTGAGGACAGAGCCCAGGCATTGAGGTACTTTAAAGCTTCCCCAGGTGAGTTTATTGCTAGCTGGGGCTGAGAACCACTGGCAGAGCTGACACTCCACCCCCAGAAGGACTAAAGTTGGGCCACCTGGACTGGGATGGAGCAGGGAGAGGCAAGAGCTTAGAGAAAAGGGGACACCTGGCTGGGATCCAGATGGAGGGGGCCATCCCTGAACCTGGTCGAATCTGTATAAGTGGTCCTTCCATTAAACTCTCCTCCATTACCTTGTCTGCGTGAATCACCCTTTCCTGCTAGATCCCAACTGGTACAGTTGTCCTCATTTAGACAAGGTTTCAAAAATCACTGACGGCCAGGTTGCCATGAGTAGATGCTCTAAGACTCCAACTGCTAGACCTGGATCAGGAAAACTGTTAAGAGCCAAACATGTTGTGAGACAGCGACTCCAGCCCACCCTCTCCCCCGACCTCTCTTCATCTCCGGCTTGTGCCTCTTCTCTCCTTGCTGCCCCCAAATCTGCAATCCCCAGGTCAGCCAGCAGAGGGCACCTGGTGGGTCTGCACCTCCCATCCTGGCCCCGGGCTGGCCGGCTGCAGGGGCCGCCACACCCACCTCCACCCAGAGCAGCGCCTGGAGGTCCCCTGGGCAGAGGACTACAGGCAAGGCAGAGCACACTGTGCCTGATGTTTCCTGGACACGGAGTCATCACTACCTGATGGCCCGATGGATTTCAGACGTGATTTTCTTTTTACTTTTTAGTGGATTAATAAATTACACAAAGTGCATAAAACTTTATGCAGGTGGATACACTTTTACATATGTATACACCTGTGTAGCCCCCACTCAGAAGATACCAAAATTTCCAGCACCTCAGGATGCTCTGCTGTACCCTGCCCAGTCAACTCTCCTCACTTCCACAAGGGCAACCACTATTTTGTTTTCTTTCTAGAGATTAATTTTGCTTATTCTTGAACTCCATGTCAATGAAATCATACCCTATTTACTCTTTTGGGTCTGGCTGCTCATGCTGTATATTACATCTGTGAGAGTAAGCTGTGTTAGTGAATGAAGAAGGAGTTTGTATTATTCACTGCTGTGTGGAATTTCATTTACAAATACATCACAATTTATCCATCCTACTCTTAATAGACATTTGGGGTGTTAACAGATTGGGGGCTATTATGTATAAAACTGTTATGAACACTTTCCAATGCAATTTTTGGTGAACATGACACTCATTTATTTTAGGAAGATACACAGGAAAGGAACTGCTGGGTCACAGGGTAGATATAAAAGATGCTACCAATTTTCAAAAGTGATTGTACCAACTTACACTCCCACCAGCAATATCTGCTTATTCTAGTTGCTCCATGCTCTCATTAATACTTTATATTATCAGCTCTCCTAATTTTAGCCATTCTGGGAAGTGTATAGTTATATATCACTGTGGTTTTAATTTGCATATTTAGTATATTATTAAAGAAACCAACCAATTTATGAGGCAGAGAAATCAAGGAGTCCTTTGTGCTGTTGCCCTTGCCAGGGAAGAAGAAACTGTTCTCTATTCTATTCTCTGGGTTTTTCTGGATGGTCTAAGAATTAAATTGACATGCGACAATAACAGGAGAAAATCAAACAAAAGCTTAGTAGCATCTGTATGTTGGGGCCCAGAGAAGGTTATCCCAACATATGCAGTAATAGCATACTGATTATTTTGAATTAAAGTTTCTGAAGAAACAGCCATTGCAAGAGGGACACTCTGACCGTCCTTTCTGTCTCCCTGAAAGTAGGAAATCAATATTCCTGTGAGAGGTGCCCTCCCTGCACCTGGAGGTAGTGTGTCCTCAGATGCTTGTCGTGTCTGACTTTTTGCGACCCCAGGGACTATAGCCTGCCAGGCTCCTCTGTCCATGGGATACTCCAGGCAAGAATACTGGAGTGGGTTTCCATTTCCTCCTCCAGGGGATCTTCCTGACCCAGGATTAAACCCATGTCTCCTGCATTGGTAGGCAGGTTCTTAACCACTGCACCACCAGGGAAGCCTCTGTAGGTAGAAGAATGCCCTTATCCCCAAAGATGGGGAATTCAGAGCCAAGAAGCCTCTGTAAACAAACCGTGTTCCTTCTTTCATTTACTACCTCAAGCCCACATTCTGTTTCAATTCTTCACTAATTTGGCACCTAAAACTGGTTTCTTTTCCTGCCATTTCCTCGTAAGCTTGTGGTTCCTTTGTCTGAGAAGTATAAAAGCTGCCTGCTTTGGTTACTTCTTAGGTCCCATTTCCATGAACCTCTGTGTGAATGAATTTAAGTTTGTTTCTCCGATTAATCTGTCTTGGATCAATTTATTATTATTCCAGCCACAAGAACTCAACGGGGGTAAGTAGGAAATTTCCTCCTCCCCAACTTACACATGGGAGAGATTCAGGAAAAGTAACTCTCGAAAATGGCTAAAATCTTCACCTTAAATACCACCTTTGGTTAAAGACAAAGGAAGACGTTGGGGGAGTGGTTCAGTGCTTCAGAAAGGAGGAAGGAACTTCATATGAAAATGCAAAAGAAAATGTTTGGTAAATAAATGGTTGTTGGGCCATGCAGGGACAATTGGACACAGAGTGGACTCTCATCTTTAGGCGTCTCCGATTCAAGTTAAAAAAAAAAAAAAGAGGGTCAGGGGAATTAAGCACTTAAAGACACCAAGCTCTTCTGAGCCGAGTCGGGCTCAGAGTGTGGGGACTCTTTAGTGATGCCCTGGGCCCTCTCACACAGCCTCAGATGACCTTCAGTTCTGCCTGCAGGTCTCAAGGTGGAGAAGGCTTAGAAGTCTGTCTGACCTGTGTCTGGGCTGACCCTTCATCACTAGTGGGATTCCTCGGGCAAAGTCGTGTAAATCAAAACCTCTATGTAAAGGGACTTTTTTGGCGATTCAGTGGTTAAGACTCCGAGCTTCCACTGCAGGAGGCATGGGTTCAGTCCCTGGTTGTGGAACTAAGATCCTGCATGCCACAGCTAAGGGTTCACATGCTGCAAGGAAGATCGAAGCTCCTGAGTGCTGCAACACTCCTGGCACAGCCAAATAAATAAATAAAAATAAATATTAAAAAAAAAGACTTCCCACTTCTTGCAAATTTGTCTCTAAATACTATTTCTTCCCCATCCCAGGAAGAGTCTGTCTCAGGGCTGGTCTTGTTGAACGCAGTGTCCTACACCATCTTCTCCACCAGGTGGCAGCGCTAGCGCCCCAGGCACAGCCGTCAATCCCCAGAGCCTTCCTCTCCCATTACCACGAAGTATTTTCTCCCCTTCGTATTACTTTTAAAGAACTCCCCCAAAGAAAAAGCTTTTTGTTTTGTTTTTGTTTTTAGAGGATATAAGTTTCTCAGCCCCTGTCTTTCCATAGGAATCAGACCTTTAGTCCCCCAAAGCCTAATCTGAGCCACAGCCACAGGGCTTGACCCTCTCATGATGAACTCTTTGCTGCCGGGTCTTTCCAGTCCCTGGACTGGCTGAGTTTTGGAAGTAAGACAGACCTCGAATGACTTCTACCTCTTCCCATCCCTAAGTATGAGATTTTGGGCAGAGTGATCTTGAAACCTCCATTCCCTCATCTGTAAGATGGGCATGATGATGATACTCACTTCATCAGGTTGATGTGCAGATTAAATGAGGGTCTAGCATAGTCCCTGGTACATGGAATGGACTGATCAATGTTAGTGCTTATAACCATAGTGAAAGAAAGTGAAACTGTTAGTCACTCAGTCGTGTCTGACTCTTGCGACCCCTGCCTGGCTTCTCTGCCCATGGAAGTCTCCAAGCAACAATACTGGGTCACCATTCCTTTCTCCAGGGGATCTTCCTGACCCAGGGATCAA